TTTTTTTTGTGATAAATTCTTATCTAAATGCAATAACAACTGCTTCTTTCCAACTTAGAAAAAAAAAAATCACTACATTAGCGAGATCAAAAAAACTCTACAGAACTTGTAAAAACCAGCAGAAAATTTGTCCTCAACTTCTAAATACCATTTGCAAAAAACAGTAACTTACGTCCTCATATAGTTTCAAAACTCATTCATAAAAGAAGTTAATGACAAATACTGTAAAAACTACGCTTTGAAAAATCGTAAAAAAAAGGAAGTTTTTGGAGCATAAGCCTTTCGAGAGCTGCAGAACACAAAAGAAAACAGTTGGCTACACCAGCAATGCGTCTGCTACCCTAATCACGTTCTCGCGAGGCTGCTCCAATTATTCCCAAATAGAAAAATGAAAATTCAAAATCAATAATCAGCATATTCAGCATCTGAAAAAATTTACGTTCACCTTCCCCAATGCTTCACCAATCAAACCCCCTAAAACAAAGCAAGTTATAAACAAGCATGACCTCGCCGTATTGCCAGTTTTAAACATTAAAAAACATAGCCAGTTTTGAGTTCCAGTATAAAAAAACCCACTACGCACTTTTCTTCAGAGCACACTGCATTACAAAATACTTTTATAATCTCTCTGGTAGCAACATTACTAATTAAACCACTACAACATAGACACCAACAACTCCAATCCACCAGAATGTCCAAGTAAATACGTAATCATTGTAAAATATCGCAATCGATAAATACCTAACCCACACTTCTTCCCATCCTTAGTACCAGAAGGAAACAAGGTACATTCCTCAACTGTCATTAATGAAAACGAATTAGCCTCTAACAAAAGACTGCTACGATAAAATCACAATAAACCACACAAATTATCTCAATTTATTTACCGCCTATTATCGTAAAACCAATTATGCCAAAGAATTAAACAACCCGACCAAACAACGAAGCAGATGAAACTACACCCAGACGACCTTCAGACATCGACATCAAAATCAAAACCTAACCTGCACCACAACCAACGCAGCCCTAAACCGACTGCACTCTGCACCAACAAATGTCTACACTGGCCCAGGACCTCCCGCTTTAGAGGCAAAAGTAACTTGCATTTCAAGGCTCCAAAGCACGTACACTTGCCGCATCGCTAGTCACTGCATAATTTTCAGAGGGGCAGAGACGAAACGAAGAAAGGATAGTTGCGAAACGCACGTAAACGAAGGAATGCTGCTGCGAGCTGCAGATTATCCGTTAAATGTGGGCGAAGGGTGGGGGAACGAGGGATGGGCATCCGTGATTATGCACCGCCATATAGACTTCAAAAGTTGGTTATTTAGACGGCTAATTGGTTTCCCTCAGCAAGTGACTAAACAACTAAAGCTTAGTTTTGGAAACGCTTTAAAGTTAAGCTGTGAGAGGTTTTGATGCCGCTTTTCCTGCTAAGTACATATGTTTAATCAATCATTCAAAAAAAAAAAAAAAAACTACTGTGTTATGTGGAAGTTTTTTTTGTCGTACGTATTTTATGTTCGCAGCATTACCACTATATACTTTCTTTCTATACTTTTATTCGCTCGTCTTACTTTGCAGAATTAAAAAAAAAAGCTAGCAAAAAATTCGAATTAAAAAATAACTCTAACAACTTATTTCGCAACATTTTCACTCTATCCTGTCTGATTCAAACTCTGTCTCGTAGGGTATTATTGGGAAACAGTTCGCAAAGCCTTTTTGCCTTCTTTTTTTTTTTTCAGTAGTCCTTTCCAAGAGATCCAGCCTAATACTGTAGATGCATTCAATTCATATAAAGGAACGAATCGTGTACCAGATCTGTTTTACCATGGTAGACTGCAGTAACAGCTTTGTATCGGATCAAACACCTACTTTCATGGTTGAAAAGTGCT